TTAACAAATCAATAAAATCGGGGTAACGTTAACGTGGCATTTCATTGACGGGGCAAAGCAGCCCGAGAATAAAAGTAAATTGTAAACATGTATGTTTCCGTTTACATCTCGCATGGGCTGCATCGCACAACTGCGATTCATAAAAAAATATGCGTAGCAAATGGCTGAAAATACATCGCGAATTGCGATGCGATACCGGGAAAATTATTCCCTGCACACACACACACACACACACACACACACACACACACACACGCACACACACTACCTTCTCTCCATCTATCCCCGCAGGTGACGCCTCCCTTCAAGCCGCAGGTGACCTCGGAGACGGACACGCGTTACTTCGACGCTGAGTTCACCGGCGACTCGGTCGACCTGACGCCGCCGCGTCACACCGGCGGACCGCTGAACGCCATTGTCGAGGAGAGCACCGACGCCCCCTACTTCCAGCAGTTCTCTTACCACGGCGACCGCGGCACGCTCGGAATGTGAGCGTCGCCCCGGCAACGACGACGGCGGGGGGGGAAGGAGGGGGTCGTAAAGGTAGCGCGCGATCGGTCGGACGCGCGGCGAGGGCACGGGGATTTTTTCGTTGGGGGGGACGGGGTGGGGGCTGTTTGCGAATCTTTGGCGTGCGGTTTCTTCGTTTTCTTTTTGTTTTTTGTTTTTTCATAAAAAAAATTGGGATGGTTGGCAACCTCTGGGTGGCAGCGTCGTCATGACGAGGTGTGCGTTTGTCGTCGAGTCAGCGCAGGGCTCCGCGGCGCGGCCCCACAGCAGTCGGATCGAATCATGTTATACGAACGACGATACGAAACAAATGAGGCCGTTTTTCCTGCTGCTGTACGTCATGGAATATGTATGTGCAGATGAAAACAAGTGGGCACATCGTTGACCATTACCGGTGATAGCTGTAGCTGCTGCTCTTTAATGAAAGCATCGTAGGACTAGATTTCTAGTTTGGGTAGTAGGACTAGTTTGGGTAGGTGCAGGCCGTCAAGTTAACGCTCCCGCAATTCGCTAGCAAGCTTTCTCTATTATCAACGCATTCGATTTCAAAAATATTAGATGTAGCAAATGTAAGGATTTTTGCAGTCTGTCAGAGTTCCGTGTCCTAAGTTGTCCAGGATCATCTACTGTGTAAAGTTATTTGCCATGACTTTAATTCGGCTAAGTCACGAGGTGCTTATTTTCGTCAGACAACACGTAACAAACCTGTCTTAACGTGAAAACAGCATACAAACGCACCTCTATGCGAATAATCTCTGTTCGAATAATATTAATTTTCAAGAACTGCAGTGAACGTAGAGGCCAGGAATCGCAGGCCTACCAGAGTCGTGCGATGTTTGTGTTCGACATTGTGTTCTGAGTGGCGGCGAATTTTCCTATCTCGCTGGCGTTTTCCTCGCCCGGATTTTCTCTCGCGCTACTTGACGTCCTGTCGTAGGGTACTAATCCATCCCCATGTGCACGGCTGGGTCACGCGGCCACGTCTAGCATGTAGTCAATATATACCTCCTGAACGTTTAGCTTCAGTTTTCGCATTGAGAGAAAAAGTGCAAATCGCGCAGTCGTGGTTGGTCGCTTGCTCGCCATTTTGCTGGTTAATCGTGTCGAGTGCCGTTCCGCGGGAGGCGGCAGTCGAGAGATAAGCTTAACCAAAAGGGGGACGTTGATGATATTGATAATATTGCACCTTAACTGTTACTCTCGTGTCGTTGTCGTGTCTGTAATTTAGTCGGGAAGTCGTTTACAGGGTTTAAGTGCCTGTCGAGGGGGGCGCACGTTGCCTCACGCCATCGACGAAATCAAAATATAGGTAGGAGTGCATGAGAGGAGTGCGTGTGTGCGTGTGTGTAGGGAAAAAGAGCTGCATTTGAACCCGTCGGTAGGTCAAGCTCTGTTATCATGTACAAAATTTTGGGTTTTCGGTTCGTGACATAGGGCATCGTCATAGTTGCCTGTTGCCTGGCTGCAAGTAACTGCGGTTTCTGGTTTGTAGCACAATGACAGGGGCTATACTCTTTAGTCTGTAACACGTTTGCAGGGAGTATGATCTGCGGTTTGTAGAACGTTGGCAGGGATAGGACTACGGTCTTCGGTTTGGAGCACGTTGACAAGGACTACGGTTTTCGGTTTGTAGCACATTGACAGGGACTATGATCTTTAGTGTGTAGCATGTTGGCAGGGAGTATGGCATTTGGTTTCTAGCACGTTTGCAGGGACTACGGTCTTAGGTTTGTAGCGCATTGCCAGAGATTATGATCTTTGGTCTGTAGCACGTTTGCAGGGAGTATGGCGTTTGGTTTGTAGCACGTTTGCAGGGACTATGGTCTTTGGTTTGTAGCACGTTGACGCGGATAAATAATTCCACATACTTGCGCTGTGCCAAATATCCTGAGATAACTGCAGGTGTTTGCTGGATCTATGTGGTATGGTTTCCCTAAATTGATCACGAAATTGATCGGAAGCCTGCCACGTGCTGATAGACTCGAATATCTTAAACGTGAGAGCTACGGAGCTTTTTCCAAGATTGGAAATGAAAGCATGCATTTTCACAAGATGAAGGGAACCCGGCGAATGTTGCATTTCGTTGCTGCGTGCGTAGGTTGAGTTGTAAGGCGAAGATTAAAGCTAAAAGGCAATCCTAGGGTGAAAGTGAAATACATGCAGACACGTTCCTTTACAGTAGTGCAAGAGGTAGGCAGTAGCAAGCTCTCCTTTCGACACCATGCTCCTCACATCACTGAGCTATGTTAATCCACTAGTTTTTCAGCATTCCGGAAAGAAACGTGTAGCATTCATACATTTTTTAATCACGAAATTTCGTATTACAAACTCAGCCCCTCACGTACCAGAATAGGTGACTCGCATCTTTCTGAATGGGTTGGAATTGATAGAGTGGTAATTATGGGTAAGCTTTGCTGTAGGTCCGTGCTGGTGTTGGCTCCGTGTGCATTCGTACTTCGTGTATTCAATGGCCACATGGCAGCAAGGTTGTTATTTACGTACGACATCTCACCGTGCAGAGCAACCGAGGGGGATGCATAACCACGATGTGCTATTACTATAGATAATAGTGTGTCGTGGCCATGCACTTATCTCTGCAGCACGTGAGGCGCGAAAGAAGTGTGTGAGGATTGAGTAAAGTGAGTGTGCTGTGGCGTTCACTCGCAGAGGGTAACCTGGCACGTCGCCAACACTGCGAACGTTCTTTTGTTCGAGCTGTTTTACCGTCTCGGCACGTTGCGTATGCGACGGGGGTAATCACCAAGCGCAGTTTAACAGGTTGTTGCTCACCTCGGTCAGTCGGGTTTCTCCCACAGAGTCGGTGTGCCCGTCATCTTGCTTGTACGTCTATGGGAAGTCACGCGAGATGTACCAATCTAGATGAGAGTACTTTCATTTACTGCTGATGTCTCGCAGCATTCACACGTGAGCTGTGAGTGAGAGGGTCAGAACATCGTACGTGAACGCGTGGTGGACGCGCTGAGTGCGTCACAGTTAGACGAGTCGCTGTCGATCGATGACTCTCTGACCCTCGCGATGTCGGGAGAGAAAACCGGGATTTAATTACCGGAATGCGAATGTATGTTTGTTTTTTCGAGGTCGAGTTGTTGCCATTTTGTGATCGTGTTATCAAAATCTTTTTTTTCTCAATTTGTGGAATAGTTGCTGATCATCAATATCAGCGGCGAGTCTTTGGTCGTGCGCGTATTATTTGTATTGGCCTCGTTGCTTGGCCGATTGACTTAGCAGAATCTATCGGTCAAGCTATACACTGGGTGTTTGTAGTGGAAATAAAGGTGTCTAAGTGAGCGATGGTCCAAGGGCAGAAAGATGGATTTCAGCATCCAACACCATGCGATTGCTTTCGGTCAGGGTATTTTTTCTCGTATACATTTTCAATTCCGTGTCGACACTGTAAGTGGATCCTCGAAAACCGGCGTCACCGAGAATGTTTTGTGACGCTGACTGGCTAGCAGTAAGCCTGCACAGTTACTTGAGAGAATACAGAGGGACTGACTTGCACAGTATAGGGGAAGTCACTTCCCATTGCTGATAGCTGTAATGATTATACCGGGAGTACTTAATGAAGATATGTCGATATGCATATTAATCAAATGCCAAAATGACCCTGAGCTGACGTTGCATGTTTTAGTGAAATAGCACGCCTTTTTTCCGTGACGCGTATATACACTCATTCAATCACGTGGTTATTACTCTTTCAGATTTAATATAATAGTAATTATATTATATATTGTTAATATAATATAATTGTAATTAGTAAAAAAAATGAAGTCTTGTCACCCCAACCGTTGGTGGCACGCAGTTGAGTTTTAATTACGGCCGGTTGGTCGATAGGATAATGTCGAGTAATTGCGCGTGGAGTGTCCATGGCCACGTACACTATTACTCTTTTCGTGGCGTTGACTTATGTGTTGCCATTCCTCGTGGCCGCCTGGTGGCCAGTGTCGGAACTATCCTACAGTCATGGCGACGTGAACTCGTATTAAGCGCGGGGACTTTGAATTGTTCTGACGGTGGCGTCTCCTGAATCATCAGAGTATATAAATAGGTGCGCGCGTGTGTCACACCCAGAGTGTCTATTTAATAGATCGCATGTTTGGAGATCTTACGGTGTCGTTTTGTCTACACGATAAGGTCAGTAGAGTTGAGAAGAAATGGAAGTGGGTTTGTTCAATTCCATTCATATTTTTAAACGACTAGTTCAGCAAGCCTTGTGTTTTTCGATTTAATTTAAATCGCGATTCTGGAAATCGATACGAATCGATTTGATGGATTTAAATGCAATTTTGAATTAACACTCCTACCGCTTCTCCTAACGCTCGTGGTAGTAGATATGTGCCGGCTTTTGTATTATTCCATAGCTATTGTACCGAGTCTGTTTCTTACGACCTTGGTGCCATTTCGCGTAGAGCGAGCATGCCTACAGTCGTTACGTGCCTGTGATTAAATGAAAATGCAGTTGGATTTACGATTGCCAACTGCCTAGCATCGTTAAGCTGCATGCGTACGGACTCACAGGGGAAGCTGTGGGAGGGGGAGGGGGGGAAATAGCGTGCGTTAGTGCTCACGCTTACGTGTGGTATGTCTTGTGCATGTACATATACTATTAAATCGGCAGTCGCAGAAATACGCGGTAGAGCGTGATTCTATCGGGAGAGGTTGAGAGATGACGGTGAGAGGGAAGAGGTGGAACAAAGGTGAAGTTTGTGAAACACAGAAAAGGTGTCACTTATGTAAACACGGCTTTTACACATATCAATAAAAGCAAACAGCTGTTGAAAGTGTGCGCGCATGCGTATGAATGTGTGCGCGCGCGTGCGTGCGTGCATGCGTGTGTAGGTGGATGTACATGCGTCCGCATGCTCAGAACCTAAAAAAATGTAAAATTCGTAAGACTAATCCCAAGTGATGGGGATTATTATGGATCTTAGGTGTGGCAGAACGCCACACACCGGTATGTGCAAGTGTCATGCACGCGTTCTTGATAAACGCTCTCTCGCGTGTGTGGTCATGAAAACCTTTCACAGTTTTGAGTCTGTTCTGTTGTCCAATGCTCAGATAAATGTGCACAAGTGGGTTAAAATAAACGTGTGATGATACTTGAAATGATGTCGAGTTGTGAATCAATGTATGAACTCGTGGTCGAACCAACAATCGCTGGACTGAATCCACCCAGTTTGAACTTGATTTGTCCGCCTTTCACCCTTGTAGTATTATATACTTAACTAAAGGTTGTTTAGCCTTTATTACTTGTCTAAAGTTCCCAGGTATGGGATAGCACGTATGTCTGTGTGCCTCCATACAGTACAGTATGAAAAGTACCAGACTATGTATAGGAACTTGCGATACATTGAGTGTCATTGTACTCTGGTTGTAGCAGTCGCCCCTCTAGTTAGGATAACATGGAAGATTTTCTCAAACCCTATGCTGTCACTGTTCCTGTGCATGCGTGTGTACTAGGTCAGTGAGCGACGATTCCTAGGGTACATATGATGGTCATCGATTTCTAATCGCAAAGGGTGCGCGCGGCAACTTCTGTACTTTCAAAAGCGTGATTGGATATACCGTTGTGGCATGAGCGCGAAGGAGGACTATGCGAGAGGTCGCCAGAAAAGTCATTCAATCGACACCACGGAATCGGCCAGCTTCCCCCCTCCCCGCCGCAGCCAATGCACAAACACACATACCCGCACAAACGCACACAGATTACCTGTCAGGGCAATCGCCGATATAGATTGCGCTTGAGCGCTCGTCGCGACAGAGGTTACGCTCCGACTACGTTTTCTACTCGCGTGCAAGCATGTCCGTGGCTCTGCGTCGACAAATAATTCAAAGAGAAAAAAGCAACACACGATGTAGCGAAAATTTCATTGCAGCTTTATTCAAAATAATTTCTGGTTTCAAAAGCGGCATTGCATTTCATTCGTCATAAAACAAGCCGGCTTCGTAAAATAATTTGAAAAAATAACACTAACATTGAATTCCCTTGTCATCTACCAGCAATGTGACAAACTAACAAATGTAAAATATTAAATTGATTTAACTCGAGGTCTAATCATAATTAATTCTGAGATGACAATAAATCATAATTTTTCCTACCATACCTATCACAGCAACCTTTGTAGTAACAGCACAAAATTGTCACAGTTGATGACCATATAGTGAAAGATATATTGGGTTAACCAAATTTTTCCAACCATATAATTCATCTATTTCCTACTGCACTGTGACAATAATAACCCTGAACGGTCCTATCCACTTGGGTGGATCATCGGCTGATTATGGGTACTGGGTACCTACCAGGTGTGGAGTAATCAAGCCAACCCTTTCACTTTATGCAAATCATGAGACTGATCGTCCCACCTCTGTTATCCCTGAGTGACAATCCCAACAAAACAACACAATGGTGAAAAGAGCCAAACTTGCAGAGAGAACTAACCCTACCCATTTGTGTGAAATGTTTGCTACCTCTCTGTACTATAAAAATATGAACACGCAACACAATAACGCCAGTCATTTCCTGGCGATGCTATTTCAAATAGCAACTGCGGTCAAAATATCGATATTATGTTGCATTAAAACGAGGTTTCATTACGGAGAGAAAAAAGCAGCAATGTTTTCTCAGCAGGAGTCGATACGACTCGCCTTGCGAGAGGGTTTTTTCCTGCAAATAGGTGAAACGCGCCTACTTCTTTTCATTTTTTTTAACCCCGAGAATTTCAGATAGAGATCCTTTCGCTGTATTACCTCAAAAACGAACCACGTGACCTCCAGAGTGTGCCGTGTAAAGTTGAGTGCACGCCATTAAGTGGGCATGCCATCTCTTGTAATAAATTAGCAAGGTCGACAGATACAAGTCTTTTTCATTTGGCACTGAATCAGAAATGATTTGTAACCTAACAGTCATCGAGTGTGAAAATTTTGGCACTTGTACCACAACGGTTGCTTTTCTAATAGCGGTTTTCTATACTAATCGACGTAGTTGATTCATCACGCACTCATTCACCAGGGTACGCCACTGTTGATGAACTGCATGTATGCATTTTAAATTTCACGCGGTTTCGTGTTACTGAAAAGCTTTTTTGCACACTTCACATCCTGCCGATATTGTCTGCATTCAAAATCTCAATCCAGTAGCCATCGGGATCTTGGATAAATGCAAGTCCTTTCATTTTGCCTATAACAAAGAATGGTCATTAGATTTTTGCCACGTAATATGTCACATACATGTGTAACCATATGCACATACATTACTATGTGTATATATCTGAACTACAGAAACAAAGGACATGTTGCTGTGTGGACTCACTCCATATATATATATATATATATAATTACATGCACTGGGCTCGGCAATTGTTTTTGTTAGTTTCTTGAAGTGAAATGACATAGACAATACTATATATACCATCATTCGGTTTCTTTACAAACTTCACACCAAGCTTTTCGAACCTTTCACATGCCTTTTCAACATCCGGAACGGAAATTCCAATGTGACCTTGAACAAACAAAAACATACTTCGGTAGTTATTTAAAAGTAATTTCTCTTATTTTTCACAAGAACCTTACCAGTAATGTTCATGTTGTGGGTGAGATGAAACAGTTACTACTTTCACTAAAATGTGCAGTCATTGCTTGGGCTTAAAGTGAGAACTCACCGTATCCTCTAGGGTCCGAGTTCCCATTGTGGTAGCCCTTGAAGTCTTTATCAGTTTCCGTACCCCAGTTACTATAACAAATGATACCACTACTAAGTACCACCGCGAACACATACTCCAGCATTGTACACCTAGGTATTCTTGGTGCCACGAATGAATTAAACCTTTTTTGTCAATTACACAATCATTGTTCACGAGTAGGAATTAAATGAAAGCACTATTTTAATTTACATGTGGTTATCAGATACAATACCAAAATATGTACATATTTTGCCAATAGATGGCAGCAATAACAGTGAATTACTGAGTAAGCTCCAGGCAGCCTTTGCGGTGGAACATCCATCTCGCTCTCTCTATGCCCACGTCAGCCGGGATGTCACTAGCCTTCTCATACCCCATGAAGTACAGCGAAAATGTCATTTCGGGGAAATCCATCTTTTTCAACAGCCTGAAAGCACATTCACATGGTTATATATATGCAATGGCATGAGCAGCACCACTGGGTATACACTTATGAAGGAATTTTATTGCAAGTATTTTCATCAATGTTCCTTTTGTATCACATGAATGTCCTTTGGTAAGTTTGTCCCCCTTCAAACATTTGCATCTTTATTTTAAGTCCCTCACAGCACAATACCACAGTTGTGTTTCACGCTAAATCACATTTTAATATAACCCTAATGTTTCTTTCTCTCACTCACTCTCTCTTTCTCCCTCTCTCCATTTATCCTCCTGACTCACTCATCCATTTAACTCTATTGGTATTTACATGTAGGCAAGATAAATATCTTGATTCTAGATTTATTAATTATCAACCACTTTCACAGCTCTTGAATAAATTACTATGAATTACATAAGTTCTCTCTGTATTATTCATTTATTTTTCCAAAATCTGCAATTGTTTGAACTAAGTGCACTCGCATGACTCGGAATAACGGACTATAATCTGAGAAACTTCAAACGCTGCCATTTTGGGGACTAGGAAATATTTAATGTCATCACACAGCCAACGTAACACTGTATTTTCAGTGACTAATCTTTTCACGATAAAACGTGCCATGTAGAGATAGTATGAGAACTGGACTAGGCAGGAAGGATAGCAACCCAGATTAGTTACCATTTCTATCCCTGGGATCTTCAATTCTTGACCTTGCTCTGGAGCACAAGTTAACATTCCCCAGATTTCCCATACCTACCATCCTACCATTATTAAACGGGAACAGATAATGTGATGATGCTATCCGTAAAAACAAAACAAACATGATTACGACGGAATGTGACCGAGGACCATGGTGGACCAAGGAGGTCAGCAGTTTTTTGATAAATTACAATATTTTCATCGAAATGAAATCATTCTTCTTGATGCCAGTTATTTTGCATTTCAATTATTTTGTCATTCCATAAAATAGTACAATGATCAGGACATCTAATGATTAATCGGAAACAAGTGTCAAATCATTTATAATTTTAATGTTCACTGTGGAATTTCAAACAGAAATTAGGAACCAAACAACAACACCATGGAATCAAGGACAACAACATTTCACTTTACCACAGAATAGGCATTCACCTCATGCCCAAGATGTTACAGTAAAACTGGAGTGAAGCCCTGGCATCTTTTATTCTGTACATCGTTTGCTGGAAAATGAAATCCTGGAAGATAAACGCAAACAAACATTTTATTAAAATTGATAAGGTAAATAGATATGTAAATGACCTTGGAACTAACAAGAGCCAGTGCATCAGTGTTTAGTTTTTCCACTGTTCCTGCTACTCAATGATGTTCAAATTAAACTTTTAAACGGTTATAACTTGTAAAATAATGCAGCTAATCTATATCCGTGACCTATGACAAGCAAAAATAGCGTCGACTGTTGGACACCAGAACACAAGCATTTGCTTGACACATGTAGCTAACTAGTCTATCTTTCTAGCAAGATAATTACAAAGTATCCTAGACAGACATGCGGCCGGGTTAATGCGGGCGGCAACGTCGCGCCCCTAGCGCGAATACGCTGCCCCTTTTTGTCCTCTTAGACAGATTAACCGAATTCGCTCTGAAACGCAACTCCGCGAAAATGGGGCGGTTTCCAAGCGACATTTAGCGATCGACGCCTAGAGGCCATCTCCAAACGGCCGAGAACTGCTCGAGGGGGTCGCGCGCCTCAAGGTTAAGATGTAGTGGCTGCTACAAGAAAGGCCAAGAAATGCTGTCAATCACCGACCACATGCTCGCTCATTGGCCGCTAGGGAATGACGTCGTCCGTTGCCGAACAAACCGTGATGTCAATCACACATGTTTTTACGAACACGGCGGAGCGAGAGATTGCAGCCCCCCTCCTTCCATCACGCTGCCCGTGGCGACGGTGCGAGTTTTTACACGTAGCGCCCGTGGGAGTGGGAGAGAGAGATAGGAGTTTTTGCGCAGCGGGCAGCATGCCACGCAGTCGCACTTTTGACACGCAGCGAGCAAGAGAGAGAGAGACCGTGGGGCAGGGGAAAAAAAAATACACGGGCCGGGCGATTTGCCCCAAATGCAAAAAGACCCCGAAAATGACGATATCGCGGGCGCACCAAAAGCAAAAGTCGCCCTGGAAATCGATCTGTCCCAGGTCGGTCCCGCGCTTGCATCGCGCGCTCGGCCTCTCCCTACGCCAGCACGTTCACGCGCGGTAATTCCTAGTACGGTGTGGCTGGCAAGTGTTATCACCCCCCCCCCCCCCCCCCCCCCTTTAACATGCATGGTGCTACTTGCATTCAATCAAACGCGCGCGCCCGCCCGCTATATATACGTGTGTGCCTGTTCCGTCGCTTCTGTTGTGCCTGCTGCGCGTCGTGCGTGCCGGTGCCTGCACGGCTGCTTGCGTGCCTGTGCACTGCCCGCGGCGCGCCTGCCGCGCGTGCGTGCGCGCGCGCGTGCCCTGTGTGTGCCGGTCCCCGTGCGCCCCCTGCGGGCGTGCTTGCGGTCTTCGCTGCGCGCCGCGTGCGGCTTCGCCTGCCGCTGCGCTGCCTGCGCGCCGCACTGCCCGCTCCTGCTGCGCATGCGTGCGTGGCCCGCCCGTTGTAGCGGTGTGTGCCTGCGGCGTGCCTACGTACCCGTAGCGACCAACGACCCGTCGAGATTATAGTAACTAATCCATGAAAAATCCTAATGAAATTCACTACGTATATTTTTCCCCTGCCGGCACACTCGTGTGTCATTTCCCGATTGTAGCTTTTTGTCAAATTCCCGAAAGAGTTTTCTTGCCGCTCTCTCTAGTCCAGCAATGACAACCCTCTAAATTTTATTAGTGATCATCAGTACCACGCTGAAACAATCGTGCCCCCCCCCCCCATACTTCAATCAATCCCGCCCCTGCCCACAGCACGTACCCCAGCGTCCGATGTGCACAGCCATTCACACCGCTGCTCGCGGGCCGCTTTCCTCAAACCCCTGAGCTCCCAGGCCCTACGCCCGCCTTGCACCCAGCCGCAAGAGAACTTCGCGTATAAACCATCGATCCTCCTAGCTCGTACAGGGCGGACATTCCACATTTGGCTAGCCCTCAATATGTTTCTGTGTTAGCTAACCTCGTTGAATACTTCACTATTCAAGGTGCATTTGTGCTTGTGACTTGTGAGTTGCTGATTATCATTAGTCTTTCAGTCTGTATGAATAACTGTCTTGGAATCATTGATGTTGATGTCTGTGTGCTGGTGTCATGGTGTGTGTGTGGGTGCCTGCCTGCGTCGGCTGTCGCGTGCGTGCGTGCTACGCTGCTGTTGGTGTCGTGCGCCGCCCACAGTTGCTGTAAATTAGCTACTGTGCTTGTGATTACATTTGAGCAAACCAGCCTGCGAAAAAAGTCGCCTGGAAAAGTGGAAAAAGAGCCCTGGAAAATTGAAATAGTAAGCCCCCGAAAATTTTGGGGGGTTTGCCAAAAAGCAGCCCCGAAAGAAAAAATTAATTTTCACTGCCGTGGTGGTGAGTAAGAGAGAGAGAGAGAGAGACGGGAGAGAAAGAGAGAGAGAGACGAGAGAGACCGAGAGAGCAGAACAGACAGGGTTTAGCGAAGTACGAGAGCTTTATCCCGACGACCCAATCAGCTCGCCACAGGTCGTTGCGGCCTAGATTACTCACATCGGCTGGGCTGCCTCACCTCAATGACTCGCTCCAGCGCCAAAACCACATGAAGCCAGTGAGCGCCGCCGCGCCTGGCTGAAGGCCTGCTCGCGCCTCGCGCACGTTTTGCCCTGCCTGTATGTGTAAGCCGGCGCCCGCCGGCTCAAAACCAACCATAACATTCTCAGTGAACCGATGTAAGCACATGCCAATTCTCTCTCTCTCAATCACTACTATCTTGTGCTCCTGCGTTTTCGTCCGGTCTGTCGGTCCGTGGCTTTTGACCCATACCATATTAGAAATAGAGCAGGACAGCGCGCACAGCAAATGGCCTGCCGTTTTTGCGTACGTGCCTGCTCGTGTTTGCGTACTGTGCCTGGCGCGGCAGCATTGATGCATGTATTATAGACTACTTATTGATAATCAGCTCGCCATACTACAGCCAACGAACGAATACACGCAGGTTGAGGAGACCGTTTAAGATGAAGTGACTAGTGACAATGTTAGTTCACGGCAGCTGACATATGCGCCAGATAAGTTCGCAAATACGCGGTGACGGACACGCGAGGATGTCCAACCGCAGTCAATCTACTAAATCGGAAAGGCCCCCCCCCCCAAGGCCTCCGTAGCCGAGCCCGTGTCGTGTGACGAAAACTGCGCACTGTTATCTGCCCGCTATATGGATCGCGCGCCCGCCTGGCCGCGAATCTGGTATAGCGGGCACGCGCATGTACATAAAAAAACCCCCCGTCGCTGTCGCCCAGTCCCGCAGAACGTGCGCGGCTAACGTCTCGCCCGTCGGCGAGGAAACAACGCATTCTTGGAGAATTCTGTACCCGTCTCCTCTGGTTAGCACATATGATTCATACTTTTACCGTACATCATAGTGACGCCACCGCTTACTTGCCATACAATCACGCGACTAATGTATTGATAGATAATTCAATCTCTACATCTATGTAGCCTCAATCTTCCCATCTCGTTAAACACTACGTGCGAGAGGCGTCCAACCGACCCCAATAGAATTTTGGCCAGTACGATGCCGCCTGCCCTATTTACGTTTTAAATTATCAAATTTTTTATGAATTCTTACAGCTTCTCTCTACTTTCCACGCCTCAATTTTATTATATGTGGCTATCAACCTGAGCAATGTACCGTACGTGGTCAGGCGAGCTAATTGTTTTAATAAATTGATAAGATTAAAACTCAACAAAACGCCGCCATTCCCCATAGATATCCCAATAACCACGTATCGAAAGTTTGCTGAATTTTCACGTACAAGACAAGACATCACAGAACAATCCCCAGAATAGCGCGTTTACAACGTCTCCAAATTAATATAGCTGTTCAAATTTTCTTATTTTAACGTGTATTTTCGGAGGCACGTAAATATTAATTAAAAAAGTGTTAGCCGATAGTTGCAACATGTTGTAACAGATGAGGTCAAATGCTGCGTAATACATTGTTTTATTTACGCAAACTTTTACGATAACTCGAGTTTGCTTTTCAAGCTACCAGATTTCTAGTGAAGGCATTCAGTCCCTCCGCCGTGTAACAGTCGGAGAGGCCTTGTCGGTCTACATCTATGGCTAATTCAGACTGTGAACTGTATGCCTAAAGCACTACACCCCCAAGAACCTTCAAAGTGTTACTCTGAGTTATCTACCGACTCTCGAGCCTCACGATCACTGAACGAGTCAGCATTATACGTAATAGTACTATTTAGTATTACTTATATTTTTATTTTTAGGTATTCACAAATTACAGTCGACCCGGCCACAACCACAGCACCTATATCTAACACGATCCCCAATGCGAGCACCGAAGTCTGAGAAGGTAAGACACACAAGATTTCACGAATGTCCGATATCAATGAAATTTTGATTTCTCAATTAAAAATATGCACATCCCCGTATTGCTCACCTTTGTTGTACTAACCTCCCCTGTATATTGTTTGCCACTGTCGATGATATTAGACACCCGTTAGGAGCAGTAAATCCGTCCGCCAGTTTAAAAAATTAAACATGGGTCGCCACACGTTCCAATGCGCGTCCATGCGTCAAGTCATGGCCAATCCCCGCACCCAATTAGGACCAATATTCCTAAACACATTCGCCCGCCAGTTTTCTAACGTGGTGGGAATGTTCATTTTTTAACAAATATGCAATATATGCTAAATACCGCTGGTAAAAACATGATTGACAGTTTCAACAAAGACGCCGGAGAAACCCAATACAACTAAGAACGTTATGCACAGTTTATCCTTTTAATTGAAACGTTCACATTTTTATCTAGAAAAAGTGCCGGATTGTGATAAATCCCTGAAATTGTCCTACCTTCTCCCACACCCTTCCCGCTTCGATTTGGATCGTGCTAATATAGTGCCTGATGCCGGCGAGCTCACTAAAGCACCGGTCTTCCATTGGTACCGCAATTCTCTCCTAGAGGCCTTATTATTATTTATTTTATTAGGAGATAGCGTTAGGGTTAGGATTAGGGTTAGGTATAGGTTAGGGTTAGGTGAGGATTAGGTTTAGAGTTAGGATTTGG